TCATCAAATGAAACTCAAAATTGATAGGAAAATAAAATCTGGGCCTTAATTTAACTTGGGCCCTTTTGTAGCATAATCTAATGATATAGAAAATATAATCATACAATTATATTAGCTATTCAATAATTATTTTATGAACTCAAATTAAGAGATAGGAATAATGTAAAAGCCCAGCAACCTAATCCTCCCTATATATAATTCCAAAATGCGCTAAGCCTACGTGGCTGCTTCTGGTGCTTCGGAATCCTATTTGGCAAATAATCATGCTTCGTAATTAGGTTTGGAAAAATAATATTAATATATTAATAATTAATAATATAGGTTCGGGTATTCCATAAATATTATTAGCCAACTTAGGTATTTTAATATCACTTTTATTAATATAACCCTTTCACTTTTACTAATATAACCCTTTAGTTATTTATAATTTTACATAGTGAGACACTAAGTGACTAATATATCCCTAAATTTTGATTTGCTTCCTTCAATAAACTATTGAATTATAAATGTATTTTAAAAGTAGATAACTTTTTGTATTTCTTATCGATTTTACGTATATAATATATCAAATTAATCATCTTTTGATGATCTTCGATTTGACATCCATATTGTATATATAAATTAAATAAATTATATTTATCTTTAATAATAAAAATAATAATATTTATTAAAATTCATTAGAAAAATAAAATTATTTCTTAATTGATATATTTATATTTAATGTAGTTATATAGTGTAAGTTAAAAAAATTAGTATAATAACACAAGCAAGTCGTACAAATAAAAAGTATCATAATAAATATATAATAATATATATATTCATATAAAAGGTATTTAAATTTTCAAACTACTTTTTCTCATTAATTTTAAATTTTAAGAAAAAAAATTAGCAAGCACCTGTGTAATACACGGGTGTTGTACTAGTGGTAAAATAAAACCAAACTAGTTGTCATCCACATGCACAAATAACATAAAAAATAATATAATTATTTTATATAAAAATAACAATTAAAATAAAAATTAAATTAATAATGTTTATCATAATTATAATTTCATTGTTACATTACTTCTTAGCTGATATTTTAGATTTCAATAAAAAAATATCATGAGGAATTTATCATATGCTAATGATTATTATATGAATATAATAAATAATATAATTTTATATATACTTTGAGTATCATAATGATACTAATCATAAAAGTATCACAAACTAAAAATAATAATATAAATTTGAAATGAACAATATAAATTTTATATAGTAAATGCTAATCTTTTGAAGATATTTATGGTTTTAGTTGTATTAATAATAAAATAAAATACATGTACAATTTGAATTATTTCATCTAATAAATTTTCACTTATAAGTTTGATACATATACGTTCAGTACTTTTATTACAAAAAATTTGGTCATTATAAAATATCTCAACTAACTTGTAAAATACAAAGTTTTTTAGCACTCATATGACAACAAAATTGGATAACAATTGCATTCGCTAATATACTACTTTGTAGAGTTTGTGTCCATATCAACACTTACAAATTTATTTTAAAATAAAATCTAAAAAGTAAAATAACTAATAAAATTTAATATAAAATCTACATTGCTAAGCTGAAAATTTAAATAGATTTTTTTTAAGATATAGAATCGCATTAAAATAATAAAGGAATCCCTACAAATAGGAAAATGCAAAATAATTAATAGGATTACGACTTGTTTTTATAATTCATTTAATAAGGCAAATTTGAAATCAATATATTACTTCTGAATATTTATTTTGAAACTCGAATGTACTATCCAAGATGATTAAAATTAAGTATGAATAATATGTAAGTCCAAAATTAAAATTATTTTTCAACCAAAAGAAAAGATACATAATAGTCATATTGTATGATTATACCAAAATATAATATTACTTATTATTTATCAAAATAACAAATCACATGCTTAAGTTTATTTCTTAAACATAACCGTTACAATTTTATGAATATTATAGTATTTATTACAAATTTAATGATATAACCATAAACAAAAAGAAAAGAAAATTAAAACTTACTAAAAAGAGCTAAAAAATTTAGGCGGGAAAATTTTACTTTTGTAATAAATGAGTAGCCTACAATTATATACTAGTACGTAGTCTGTGCGATGCACGAGACAAAAGTACTAATGAGTCATTTCCACAGTGCTTTCAGTTAAGTAGCTCGTGCGATTCACGGAGATCTTAAATGAGTGGACCTTAGAGCTTGTCCATTCAGGCCTAAAAAATAATAGAGTTTGATCATCTATCTTTTTACCTCTTTTCATCAATGTCATTTTTTGTTTGTCGGGACATTAAACCTGAGCTTGGTAGCGATAGCCCGTAAATTAATTAATATATTATCTCGTCACATGTTTATGATAATATAAATTTGATTTTATTATATATATTTATTCCTTGATATAAGAAAAAAACAATATTACGTAATCTTGTTCCTCATATAATAGTTATATTATTTTATTATAAAATCTATTGTGATATAATGTCATTATAATTATTTATACATTATAGATGTAGTCGTCTTCTTCTTTTTGTTTTATGTAATTAAAATATTTAATGATTTATTAATGTAATTAATCTAAATTATGTAAATAAATTTAAAGTAAAATATTTTGTACAAACATTTCACAAAATATACATATGGTTTTTTAGAATAAATAAACATCTTTGAAATTCTGTGCTTAAACATCCTTGATATAAAATCATACATAAATTCTATGCAATTATTAATTCCGTCCGATGTTATGGTTGTAACAAAATGATAAGAAATTTTACTTCAAGTTTTAAATGAGACATGTTTTTACTTGAATTCTATGCAATTATTATTTTGGCAGATTTTATGGCAAACAATTCATTCAGGATTTTAATGTAAACAAATGATAAAAAATTTTAAAAATTAATTTTAAATTTGAAATGAGATATGTTTTTTTCTCTGTCCAATTTTATTGCAAAACACATAAATTAAGGATGGAATTAATGTAGACCGGTTTTTTAGCTATAAAATAATAATACAATTGAAAAAATGATAGAAATAGAATGCATTAATTGTTTTTCACTTTTCTTCCTACTAATTTTAGTAAATGAGATGACTTTTTATATAAGTATTTATCCAAGAAGTCCGTCAAAGTATAGAGACTTTTCTAAAAAGCCATCTTGCATAAGTCTGTTTAATAAATTATTAAAAAAAAAAATACTCCCAAACAAGCACAAAATGTATTGCTATAGCATAAAGAAAAAAAAATAGAAAAAAAATACAATTTAAAAATATAAATGATTTTGAGATTGTAAATTGTTATAGGATGAAAATATGATTATTTGAGTTAATGTATATATAAATAATGTGATACTAATTCATAATGCTTATTGATTATAAATATGCAATTGTATGAATAGTATTATATATATATCATAGTATTTGATTTCTATAATGTAATTGTGTTATTGAGATTGTAAGCGAAAGGAAATAAAATGAGGTGAGACTAAATTTTACCTGTGTCAATCCATATCATAATAGACGAATACTTAATTACTTGTTAGACAAAATTGAAATATTTTCATGTCTAATTGTTATTACGATTCTACTAGACTAGTGTTAGCCCCATATTTTCTCCAATGGCCCCAAGTGTACTAAAGTGTTAGCCCCATATTTTCTCCAACGGCCCCAAGTTAGTATTTTTTATGCATATAAATATGCATACACATGTTATATTTATTAAATAATATACATATATATATCATATATTTTATAATTTAAATATATATTTCACACTGCACTTAAAAAATGATGGTTGGGTCCTAACAATTAGATTGCCTTAAAGCATAATTTGTGCCACAAATTATGAGATTTGGGAATGTAGCACAAGATTGTTCGACAAGGTTATGTTATGTTTGGTAACTAAATAATATAATTTATAATTTGTTTAGTTAATTTATAAGTTTCATGTATTTAAATAAGTTTCGCTTGGTAGAACAATCTTTTTAAACAAGCTCAGAGCATATCTCAAAATATTTTTTTGGTAACTTTTTAAATAAGCTTGATGAAATTTTAACTTCAACTAGCTTATCAACTAATTATATCAAACACTTTTATCATATAAACTAACTTTTCAGTTATAAGTAAAATATAAGTTCAAAAATCACTTATAAGCTATGTCTATAGCTTATCAGCTAGTTTTACCAACATAAAGCTATAAACGAGCTTACCAGCTAGTTTACATAGTCCAATTGATCTAATTTACTGATTATGAAAAATGAAAAAGTAATATATTAGTTATGACTTTGCTACTTTTTATAACATTAATATTTTTTAGCATGAAAATAATTGTTTGCAAGATGTCACATTTAATGTTGTTCAAATTTCTTACTCGCAAGTAGTTTATTTATATGCATATGCAAACACAGCACTGCTCAACCTGTATTGAGATTTGAGAAGAGAAGGACCATATACCCACTTACACAGGCCCAACACAATCTTCATTTCACCATAAACATTATAACCTCAAATGGTTCCCCCAACATACAAGCAGACGAGAGTGAAATACCTAACTATTGTTGTATCATGTACAATCTTCAGATACAATTCAAAACACCTCAACACCACAAAAGGATTAACTGAATCCTCAAAACACAGCAGGCTTCCTGGTAATTACCAGCAATCTCGATAGCTTAAAATTGTAACTAAAGACTTGGGAGAGAATGATTATGAGAAACCTGAGAATGTTCGTCCAAGAAAATGGCATTTTAATGAACAACACATTAAAGTGATGATCTGCACAATTGTATTCTGCATGAAAGCACAGTCAAGTAAAAACAATTTTGGGAGAATAAATAGACATCAGCTCATAAAAGTGAAGATCATCATTGCAAATCAAAGTTCAGATAAACATCCTATAGATGACATATAAATAGAAATGCATCACCACAAGACAGATAAAAGAGTTTGGAAAAGTAAAATACTTTTATCAAGCACAAGAAAAAGTAATAAGCAGATTCCTATATTCAAGATGCTTGCATGTCCGATGGGAAATTCCATCGCTACCAGAATCAATTGTAACTTCTGCTGTGTCAATGTGCATACACAGTGTCATTTCGTCTGGGAGGTCTATCAGGAATGGAGCCGGGTTTAAACTTTGAGGCCTCATGCCTCGCAAGCTCTGGAGGGACAGGACTATTGCTCTGAATCAGCATTTGCTTGAGATCATAGAAGACTTCAGTGTCATGCAGAGTCAAAAATGTTGTAGCTACCCCAGTCTTCCCAGCACGACCCGTTCTTCCAATACGATGAGTGTATGCTTCAATACTGTTTGGCATGTCATGGTTTATGACGTGTGCCACATCAGGTATATCGATACCACGTCCGGCTACATCTGTTGCAACCAGTACATTGTATCTCTTAGTCCTAAAACCTTCAAGGCTTATTTCTCTTTGTTCCTGTGACTTCCCCCCGTGCAGTGTGGTTACCCTGTAACCCTCTTTATCCAAAGTTTTCGCAACATTGTCAGCAACTTTCTTTGTGTTAACAAACACGATAGCTGTCTTGTCACCAAACTCATCCAACAGTTTCTTCAACCTATCCATTTTGTCATTCTCCCGCATCATAATCACGTGTTGACTGATGAGATCAGTCGCCTTCCCTGCAGTACCGATATTGACCACAACCGGATTTCTCAAGTACTTCCTTGCTAGACGCTCCACGGCAGGTGGCATGGTAGCACTAAACATGTAAGTGGTTCGGTATATCCTCCTCTCATCAAGCTCTTCGTCCTCATTCTCCGGCTTCATATTACTCGAAGGCATAGCATCTAATACACCCACCACTTGGGGTTCGAAACCCATGTCAATCATGCGGTCTGCCTCATCAAGAACAACATAATTACACTGGTTCAGAACTACATACCTCCTCTCCAAGCAATCAAGAAGACGCCCGGGTGTGGCAATCACAACCTCACATCCCTGCCTAATCTTAAACCCCTGTTCCTCTATGGACTGCCCACCAACAATAGAAACCACCTTGATCCCCATGTAGTGAGCAAATTTGGTGGTCTCATCCTCAATCTGCTGAGCAAGCTCTCTGGTGGGTGCCATGACAACTGCGTAGGGCCCCTCGGCCTCATTCTCCTCGCTTATAGGAGGCAGTCTGGTTATGTAAGTCAGCATAGGAAGAACAAAGGCGGCTGTTTTACCTGATCCAGTCTCGGCAATGCCAATCACGTCTCGCTGTTGCAGGCCAAGAGGAATGGCTGCCATCTGAATTGGGGAAGGAGACTTGTATCCTGCCCTCTCAACCGCCCTCAGCAACTCAGCGCTCAACTTGCTCTCAGCCCAGTTCCTCATGGGACGAGGGATCCTAGAGCCTTTGTAAGAGATGTTGAAATCTTCCCTGAAAATCCTCCAATCCCTCTCGGTCATCTCCTCCAGCTTCTTGTCCGACCAGTGCCGATCGACCCTCATGTCAAAGGTGTCGTACGAGTCGGCTGCTTGCTCTTTCTTCTTCTGAGCAGCGGCTTCCTCACGAGTCTCCTCCACGCCTTCCTTCTTGCGGATCTCGTCCCTCAGGTCTTTTTCGTTCTTGGCGGCAAGCTTCTTCTGCTCCCTGCGATCCATCCCGGCCCGAAACCCGCGGCCAAAGAGGAGCCTCGCCTCGTGGGGGTTTTGGTACAAGGAGTTCATGTCGCGGGAGGTGTCCTCGGTGTTCTCCCAGTCAAACGAGAATCGGAACTTCTCGCTCGGCTTAATCACCCTCTTCTTGGGCTTCTTAGACCCCAGATACTGTTCCTTTATGGCGGTTAGCTCAATCTCACGTTCCCTCTCAGCTAATTTCTCCAGGCGAGCACGCTCCCGGGCCTTGTGTTCGTCCTCGCGTTCTCGGTCACGGTTCCGGCGCTCGGAATCGCGGTCTCGGGCCCTGCGGTCGGTGTCGTGCGAGTGACTGTTGTTAGCAGCGGGTGCTTGTTGTTGGAGAAGCATCTCGGCGCGGCGTTTCTGCTGAACAGTGGCTTCTTCCTGGCGGCGTTGGAGGGCGAGCTTTTGGCGCTCCTCTTTGGTAAGGAAGACCGGCTTCTTGACTCCGCCGTCCACCATCTCATCCGCAGCCCTCTTCATTCTCACACCAAAATCAAATTCAATTCGGAAGAAAAAAATCGCAGCGATTGGGAAGTTGAGTTAAATTAGGGATCTTACGATCTCTCTCCAGAACCGTCCTTGGCTTTATAGAAGATTAATATATACTAAGTACATAATATTGTACTATACATATTGAGTGAGACCCATCAAAAATAAAAAATTAAGTGGACCCTTCTCCATGTGAGTATTATGTATACCTCTATTTATATTTGTTATGTACTTGTAGCATTGTTCTAATATATATACTAGTACAACGTCCGTGTATTACTTGTGTAACTTACCTGTCATATTATAATAATATTTGAATTCATCACATTAAGTACACAAACATAAATATATTAATTGAGAAATAATTTTATTTTTAATTAATTTTAAAACATAATTTTATTATTATTATAAACATAAATATAATTTATTTATTTTATATATACAAAATAGATGACAAATTGAAGCTCATCAAAAGATGATTAATTTGATATATTATATTATGTAAAATCAATAAAAAAATACAAAAGTTATCAACTTTTAAAATACATTTACAATTCAGTGGTTATAATAGGAAATGATATTAAAATACACTTAATACATCTAAAATGATCATAAATAAATCAA